TCCTGAGGCAGAAAAAAGCTTCTGCAAAGGATCTCATAATGTGGTCTCCCTTGATGTTTAGAGCTAGAGTGAAGAGGACTTTGCCCTAGACAATGTGGGGTGCTGTAGTCAGTGGGAAGAGCATGGAGCACAGGATTTGGGGTCAGGCCAACCTGAACTCAAAACCTGGCTCTGTGTGACCCTGGCAGATTATTTGACGTCTCTGTGCCTTAGCTTTCTCATCTGTAAAATGGGCTTTTAAAAGTACCTACTTTATACAGCTGCTGTGAAGATTATGTCAGGTGCCTCCCCAGCTGTATGTCCCTAGCACCTAACACAGTACCTGATGTGTTGTAAGCACTTGGTAAACTCACAGTGATGAACTGATCAGACTGGTGTGCACGTGTCATTCGTTCACAGAACACACTTATTGAGTTCGTACTATGTTTAAAGCACTTTGCCAGGCACTAGTACTGTGGTTACAAATATAAACAGACACTGATCCTGCCTTCAGGGAACTTAGAGTTTAATAGGAGTGATAATAATAACACATATATTGATGTTAACAGTTATTGATATGCCAGATATCTCAGGTATTATGTCAGTTGCCAAAGCAACACTAAGAAGTTGTACTTCCATTATTCCCATTTTATAAATGGGACATGGGGAGGTTAAGTGACTTGGCCAAGGTATAGAGCTGATAAGTGGCAGAGCTACGATTCAAACCCAGCCAGTCTGACTGCAGTCAGACTGCACACTCTTAGCCAGTATATGCATGCAAATGTCTTGTACAGAAATGGAGGATACATACTAGATGAGAGGCACACATTCAGTGCTCTGAGAGGGAGGAATTACCTCCAGCTAGGGGATCAGGGAAGGCTTCATGGAAGTGGTAGCATTTGAACCACACCTCGAGGGATAAATAGGAATGGGAACAGGAGAAAAAGAGCATTTCAGGCAGATGATGAAATGACATGACCAAAACGTGCATAGATGGAAGTAATGGGGGTGTTTGAAGACTGTCTAGAGGGGACATTTGAAGGCTCACTGGATTATGGCTAGAACATAGGGTATATGCAGAAAAAGAGTGGGCAACAGGGCTGAAAGAGCTGTTGAGAGCAGAAGTGGGGGTGGGGTTGAATGCCATGCTAAAGAGTCTGACCTTTTCCATATGCATTGCCAAGCAGGGTGGTTAGAGACGTGCCCTGGGATCTAGGAGGTGGTTGGGGTGGGGATGGGGGGAGGGAGGAAATTGAGGCGGGAAGATGAGGTAGAAGGTTATTACAAGAGTCCACACAGGAGAGTATGAAGGCCTGAATCAGAAAGGAGAAAAAGAAGGTAACTCTTTGATGCCCAAGGAACTTGGTTGACTGGCTGCATTGGAGAGGGGCTAAAGCTGGACGGGGAGAGGTGAGGCTGAGAGGCAAGCTCCCTGCAGGTGCGAGACTGGGCCCCTCTCTCCGTCTGTCTGCCTCTTGCCCAAGCACATGGCCCCCAGTAGATTGTTCAGTTGGGAGAGTGGGCTCATCCATTTCACACTTCCTCCTTTCTTTACCCTCCTCCCTCCTCCGGCTCTTGGCACAGTTTCTACCTTACCTTCCTGTTGAGAGTTCCAGCCAAGAGCAGGGGGCTGTGAAGGTCCCTATTCACGGAGCTGGAGAATGGGCCACTTGGCAAAAGCTGGGCTTTTCCCATTTCCGGCCCTGAACCTCCTTCTAGCTTCCAGAGGGGCTGAAAGGAACTGTGTGGGGATCTTGTGAGTAATGGGGATGGGGGGAGTGAGGCAGGGCACACTGCCAGGTCCATGGGCAAAGCTGGAGCCTGTGTCAAAGGATTCTGGCTGAGCTGGGAGAGGGCGTGAGATGGATGGATGGAGGGCACAGCTGTGGGATCAGTCAGGGGCCTAGGAGAGGGCTTGGGAAGGTTGCCGAGGATGCTGGTGTCACATTTTCCCATCCTTACTCCTCCCAAACCACAAAGGGCCCAGCGAGTGCCATGGAGGGGAGCTGTCCATGGGCAGCTGAGCCCTCACCACCCCGCGGAGGGCTCAGGGCTGGAGGGCCAGGATGGTGGGGTTTGGCTTCCCAGCAGCATCTTTCCCCTTCAGATGAGTCAGTGAAGAAACACCTTCAGTAGAAGTGAACTGAATTGGGTCTTGGAGTCCCTCCAAGACTTCATGTTCTTACTCCCTATGTGATGATAATCGCCCTCGCACGTCCCACTGACTATCCTGGTTTCTTCTCACAACAATCCCATGAGGCTGAAGAGTCAGGGATTATGATGACATGGAAAGCTCACTGGCCTGGAGTCAGAGGGCCAGGCATGGGGTCCCAGTCCTGCCACTAATCCACCTCGGAACCTCAGGCAATAGATCTGTGTTTCCACTGGAGGTGCTCAAGATGACATCAGGTGATAATCAGATGAAAAACTTAGTTTCGATAGATAGATGGATAGATAGATAGGAAGCGTTACCATCTGTTTATGGCAAGTAATATACATAAGTTTTCATATAAATCCATTAATTTATATAAACAGATTTAAGTAAAGTATTAAGTAGGAGACTAGGTCATATATAGATATGGTGAAATCATGAAGGAAGGTCTAGGGAAGCGTGTTTAGGAAACACTGAGGGAGAAAACGAACCTCTCAGCTCCCTAGCTTCCTAATCCATTAAGTGGGGATAATTCCAACTGCCTCGTCAGACTCCCGGAGCAATTGTGGGGATCAGACAAGGTCACGTAGAAGACAGAGCAAGTGCTACACATGTGTGAGGGGTTATCATTTCACAGTCAGAATCCGAAGCACAAAAGGTTGGTGAATCTGCCCCATGTGGAGTGGCTGAGTTAGTCAGCTGGAGTGGGCCAGGTCTCCACAGGACAGCATGGGGCTCTTTACAAACCCTAGGAGGGTGCCCGGGGGGGCATCCAGCTCCACCACAGGGAGGAAGCCAGGGGCTGGTTTAGACTGCAGTGGGAGAGGCTAAAGTTTGACAGGAAGAAAATGTTTGGAATGAGACAATTGGAGGCCCAGAAGATGCTGGGGGTGGGAGACGGGCTATGGGGTGGGGTGGATGCAAGGAGGGTGGTGAGACCTTTCTCAGAAAGGGTTCGCACAGCCGTCTCTAGGATACGCTTATCACGGGTGTTGTGCTTGGCGGTGGAGCAGGCTAGCTCTGTGCCTGTGTGCACACGTGTGTGTACAAGCGTGTGTGAGTGTGTGTGAGCTGGGGTGGAGAAAGAGGGTAGTGCCTGTTAGAGCCATTCCCACTCAAACTAATCAGAACTAATTAGGCCTTCTTGTGACTTTTCCACCTGAGCCCTGAGGGCAAGTTGGGTATGACTTGGCGCCATCCTGAGGCACTGGGAGGCCAGAGAGGAACTCATCACCTACAGCATGGGATTTTCTCAGGTTTGGCGCCTCTCCTTTATGCCCACCCCACGTTGCTCTCTCTTCTCCCTCTCAGCAAGAGAAACCTTGGGATCTGAGCAGGTCCCACGCTCTGGGGAAGACAGCAGCCTGCCCTCTGGCTCTTTCTCCTTGGGTGACATCACTCCCCCGGGGCTGGGAAAGGCAGCTCGCTTCTCCATCAGGCCCCAGCCGATGCTCCTGCCTCCCCACTGCCTGGCCTCCCTGTTTCCCACACGGGCTTCTTTCTTCCATCCTCAGCCCCCTCACGGCTGCCTTCTTGCCCTCCAAGGTCAGCGCTCTGTGGCCGGCTGACCGAATCTGGCTGGACCGTGGGCAGGAGGATGCGAGGCTTCCCTTTCCTTCCTCTGTGTGGTGCCAGGGTGGGAAAAGGGACCAGACGAGACGTTTCTCCTCAATCAGACCAGACAGGTGAATGGAATCCTATCACTACTGCGTGTTCAGGTTCACTGAGGAAGAAATGTTCTGGAAGTTCTCAGGAAGTCTTAAGATAACAGCCAAAATTCACCTGTAGGCCATGCCTAAACACATATTACCTCATCTTGTCAGTCCAAAGTTGGACCAGGCAGGAGCTCTTATTCCCGTTTTAAAGAATGGAGAAATTGAAGTTCCCTGGCGGTCTAGTGGTTCGTAGGATGCAGCACGTTCACTGAAGTGGCCCAGATTCAATCCCTGGTGGGGGAACTAAGATCCCGCAAGCCGCGCAGGGCGGCCAAAAAAAGCAAGAATGGAGAAATTAAAAAACAGAATTTAAATAGCTTGCTCAGATCACACAGCTATTACATGGCAGAGCTGGGATTTGAACCCTGTTCCGTTTGTCTCCAGAACCCAAGATCTTAACCAATGCACTATCATTTTCCATAGGGCTGCAACTTCAGCTCTTATTTACTTAAATGGGGCCTCTGTTTTATGGGCATCCCTGAATTCATACATACCCACACATTCGTTCTCACTTTAAAAAGGTACAAAATGTCAGCATTATTTCTTAAGGATTTTTCCATACTGGAAGGGATTGAATGGGGTCATTTCATTCCTCCCACCGCCTCTGACCTAGACTGTGTTTAGCCTTCTGGAAGGAAGCTGGCAAGCTCCGACTCTGTGCCTCTTGGTGAAATGAAACCTTGAGAAAGGTTCCTGACCCTTTCTCCCTGGATAGTGACTTACCGAGGGCAGCAAGCAATTTGGCGTGCTCAGTGGTACTCAGTGTATGTTTTATGGATATGTAGTAAGTGCAGAGGTGCTAGCTGGGTTCTGGGGCAACACAATGATGTGTAGATCTCAGTCCCTGCCCCCAAGAAGTAGATGCTCAATGAATGTTTCATCAGTGACCCAGCACTTAAATGCACAGAGGAGCTGTGAGTAGCAGGACGACAGGGAAGAGCATTTTCAGTATCACAGAAGAGGTTCTGATGGGAGTGTGGGGTGTATACGGGAGTAGATTATGCTTCTGAGTGGCGAGTGACAGGGTCGGAGGTGTGTGTCGGGAAGACTGGTTTGGTGGCCTGCAAGGAGGCTTCTGCAGCATTGCAGGGGGTAGAAGGGCAGATGTGCAGCATCTGGGGACAAGAACGGGCAGTGGGGTGGGAAAGCCCAATATGACCCCGAGGTTCCGGGTTGGGGTGAGTGGTATGAGGCAGGGGGCAGAAACAGGAGAGTCAGTGCAGCAGTTTGCCAGGAAGGGACCTTGAGGAGTTTGGTTTGGGGCTCAGAGTCTCCTGACTCTGCTCTGGGTCTTCCAGTTGTGGCTGAGCTGCCTCCAGAAGGAAGGGATCAGGAAAGTAGAAGCCAAAGAGGCCAGAGCAGGGAGCCATCAGCAAGCGTGGCCACGCCACAGGCTGTGTCTCCTGCTTCTGCTGCTGCCACTCAAATGGAGCATGCTTGCCCAGCAGCCTGGCAAACCCCAGGCTGTCAGGCCCCGAACCACCACTTCTTCTTGCTCTTTCTTGGGGAAGGTGCAGAGTGTGGGCAATCCTACTCTCAGCAACGGCTTCCTTACCCTCAGGGACAGTCAGTCCTCCACTGTCTGTTAGCACTGCTGGCTCAGGAGAGCCTGGGCTGGCCCCTAACCCCTACCAAAGCCCGAGTTGGCAGGGGAGGGTGTGACCCTAAAGCCTGAGAGGGTCAGCTGCCAGCACAGCGCTGCAGAGCCTCTGCGCCTGCCCTCCCAGGCCCTGCACCCCTCTACCCTGTGGGCTTAGCTCTGTGCGTTAGGACAAGGCTGGGAGGTAAGATGATCCCGGTGGGTCTCTGGGGGGCTTAAGAAACAGATGGTCCCCTTGCCTGAGGTTTGCCGTTGTAACATGAGCAGATCTGGGGAGGGAGCTGGCGGAACCAAGGCAGCTTGGGCCCGGGGACGGGAACCTCGTGAATGTTATCAGACAAAGCATCCCCTGCCCAGCCTCCAAACTCGGCCCTCACCCAAGTCAATCTCTTGGCCCCTTCCAGCTGGCACCTGGGACTCGGGCCTTAGACACCCACAGAGGGGCTGGGGAACTGGCCCCCAGTGTCCCCACTCTTGGCTAGGACAGCGGAGCCAATTGGGCCAAGAAGGCAGGAAGAGCACTGGAGCCAAGTTTGAGAGCAGCTGAGAGGGGACAGGTGTTTGGAAGGGAGAGAAGGGCTGGGCAGAGCTGGGCAGGGGTCTCGGCAAACGGGAGCTTCGTGGCTCCTTATCTGTCTCCTGACCTGCCAGATGTGAACAGCAGTGAAAGGAAACCCCAGGCCTACCCTCCCTTTCTCTTAGGAAATCTGAGCCCCTCCTCTGCCCTAGCGTCCCTCTCAGCCCTCCTCCACTGCCCAGACATCCTGAGGCAGTGCTTGGTGGTTAGGACTCTAGCATTTGGAGTGAGACGTCCTGTGTTTGAGTCCCAGCAGCGTGAGCCATGTGACCTTAGGCAAGTTACTTCACCCTCACCGTGGTTGACTCATATGTTAACATGAGAATTATAATACCAACCTCCTAGGGTCTATATAAAGATGCAATGAGATGATGTGCACAGAATGCTTAGCTCAACTCCTGTTACACGGTAACTGCTCACAAATTGTTATTGTCTTCATCATCCTCATCTCAAGGAGGCTCAGGAGAAGAGGGCACAGACACAAAGGACACAGGTGGCCACCAGAACTTTCTGTACCATCAGACTGATCTCAGTGCCACCTCTTACTATCTATGTAATCTCGAGCTAGTTACTTATGTGCCTTAGTTTCCTCATCTGTAATAGGAACAATAATACCACCTCACAGAGTAGTTGGGGAGATTAAATATAGGTTAATTATACATATGCATATATGTATACATATATGTAGCTTAGGATGGTGCTTGTCTTAGCAAGTCAGCTGCCATTAATAGTATTCCCTTTATCCAGCCATATCCGTGTCAAAATTCCTCCTCTCCCAGCCCTGATCTGCACCGTACTAGGCTGTACAGAGATGGGGTCAGTGGCAGGCTGGAATGACCCTGGAGGTGTGTGTTTGGGGAACAGTCCTTCCCCCTGGCTCACAGGCCCTGTGCTTTCTCCCCTGCAGATGTCCATGAAGGAAGTGGGCGATGGCTTGCAGGATCAGATGAACTGCATGATGGGGGCACTGCAGGAACTGAAGCTCCTGCAGGTGCAGACAGCACTGGAGCAGCTGGAGATCTCTGGAGGGGGTTCTGCCCCAGGCTGCCCTGAAAGCCCCCGGACGCAGCTCGAGCCCCCTCAGTGGGAGGGTGGCAGCGGTCCTGCCAGGCCTGCGGGCTTCTCCCCCTCCAGCCAACCCTCTCTGGGCAGCAGCGCCAAGCTTCCATCTCCTAGAAGTGTGTGTGGGAGGGATCTGGTTCCCCTGCCCAGGACACGGCTGCCAGAGCACCAAAGCTGTGCCCAGCGGGGGCCAGAGCTGGTGGAACCGGATGACTGGACCTCCACGTTGATGTCCCGGGGCCGGAACCGACAGCCTCTGGTGTTAGGTGACAACGTTTTTGCGGACCTGGTGGGCAACTGGCTGGACTTGCCGGAACTGGAGAAGGGTGGGGAGACGGGTGAGACCCGGGAGGCAGGAGCCCCCAAAGGAGGGAGGGGCCCACCGCGGGAGCTGGGCCGCAGGTTTGCCCTAACAGCAAACATCTTTAGGAAGTTCTTGCGTAGTGTGCGGCCTGACCGTGACCGGCTGCTGAAGGAGAAACCAGGCTGGGTGACACCCACGGCCTCTGAGCCCAGAGCCGGACGCTTGCAGAAGGGCAAGAAGCGGGGCCATTCCAAGGGCCCTGGACATTGCCCCTTCCCAGGTGCCTTGGAGCCCAGACGAGGGGAGAATCCTTCCACCAGCTGCCCCAAGGCCCTGGAATCCTCACCCTCTGGCTTTGATGTTAACACAGCGGTTTGGGTCTGAATCCTAGAGAGAGAAATTTGACTGACCCAAAAGGGCCAGGTGCCAGTGCTGGGCCCCTGGGAAGGAGGCCGGGTGGTATGGCTTTCAAAAGCCCAACTCCAAGTCCCTTCCGCCGAGAAGGGTGGGAGGAGAAGCAGAGGGCCAGGAACAGAGCTGACAGGCCTGTAGTTGGGCGAGGCTGTGCCAGGGGCTGGCTGGTGGGGGAGGCGAGAGTCCCTGGACAGAGAGAGGGAGAGAGAGAATGTGTGTGTGTTGCTTTGGGGCTGGAGGTGACAGCAGGAGAGGGGCAGGGGGAGAAGACCAGGAGATCCTTCTGACATTCCTTCACTGCCCCCAAAGACCTCAGTGTAACATTCTGCATGGATCGGGCACGGGGGCCACAGGTTCCCCAGAGACGCCGCCAATAAAGACCTTGTTTCTCATGCCCCCAGCCTCATAACTGTTTGCTTCCTTGGCAAAGCGCTGCTCCAGGCACAGGTAGTAAAGCCTGGCCCTCCTGGGAGTGGGAGCAGAGAGGCAAATTCCCACCCCCTTCTGTTGCCCTTGAGATTTCAGCGCATCCCTGGACCCTGAGAAACGGCTGAATCAGGAGTGTGTGTATAAGGAGTGCCTGGGGAAGCCCCAAGCCTTTCCAGAAGCACAGGAAAGGAAAGCTACTATTTGTACAGCACGTTAAACGTCTGAAAGCCTTTTCATATCCATTATCTCCTTCGTAAATGGGCGAGAAAGGCAGGTATTATCCCCATTTTCCAGATGAGGAAGTAAGCCTGGATGTGCTACGTGTCCAAGTACAGGCCGCAGGCAGGGGCTGACTGAAGAACAGACGCCGGGCCCTGGAATCACACACACTCCTTCCCCAACACTGTCTCCAGCTCAGAACCTCCACCCAGGGCACAGGAACATGTGAATTCACCAGTGAGGCAAGGTGAGCCAAGAAGAAATACACGCTCATTTTAAAATGCCTTTGGCCTCATCTTCCCACCTCGGTCCAGGACAACCCAGGGTGGAGGGGCAGCAGCTCAGCTCCCGGGGCCACACCTAAAGCCCTGCTGGGCACGTGGCCCGGAGAGCAACGCTGCCAGATCCAGGGCCCGCCTGCCTGTCCCTCCCACCCTGGCAGGGAACGCCCACTGGCTGGGAAAAGACAATGTGGGTCCCTGTTTGGGCCGAGCCTGACCAGGAGGGCAATCCGTTTCTCCTCCCTCACCTCCTCCTGGCTGAAGTCCCCTCTGCCGGATGGGGAGTGACAGCTGCAATTAGAGGCAAGCCGCCTTCCCGCCCTCACAGCATTTAATACCAAATTGTAGAGGAAAAAATAACAAGAAAGGCTCTTTCTGCATCCTGGACCCCTGGGGGCAGAGATGGAGGGAGGGGGCTTAGAGTGAACAGCCCCACAGCTCTAGTTGGGAAGTGATTAGGGTCACCCTCAAATTCCCACACAGTCAAATGGTAGATGTGTAGTTTTCGGTGGCAGAAGCTACAAGAGGAAAGGTGCTTATTAACTTTTGTGTGTGTGTGTGTGCGCGCGCACGCAATGGCTATTGGCCAGGCAGTGTGCACGTGTCTTTCAAACTTCAAAATGACCCTAGAAGGTATTGTTAATACCTGGTAATTCAGTGGAGGCTCTTAGGGGTCATGTAAGCTGCCCATATGAGGTTACTAGCAAAGGAAAGAACCAGGATTTGAAACAGAGGGATGTCTGGCTCCAAAGCCTGTTCTTTCCTTGTGTCTCCCTGGAGCTTACCAACCGAGCTAGCCCTTTCTGGAGGAGGAAGCCCCTGCCCATCCTTCCTGTCTCCCCACAGAAATCTGAAATCCATCCTGGGTGAAGGCCCACTGGCTGTGGCTGCCTTGGGTGGTGGAGTGGTGTGTGTGTGCGCACACGTGTAGAATGTGTGTGTGTGAAGATTCCACCTACTGAATCGCTGAGTCCGGAGAGGAGGGAGCCGTGGGCTGCTGGATGGGGGAGAAGCTATCCAGCAGTTATTCAAGAAGGCACCAGCTCCGAGTCAGGAATGATCCTACAGGAAACCGGGTCACCTCTTGGCCATTCACCTGTGACGCATCAGTTTTGTGGACCAGTCATTGCGATTCAGACCAACTGAACAAAACTTGCTGAACACTTCCCAGTGCCAGGCATTGTGATAGGAACTAAGAACAGAGCAATGACAAGGACCCAGTTCCTGACTCAAGGGGTCCAGTAGGAAGAAAGAAGAAACTCTTAACCCAAAGGTTAGCCAGAAGGGATCCAAGGGAGTGAAAACTCACTGTAACTTGGGCCAGAACAAAACAATTAGTGACATATGCTGCCACAAAATTCGCAGGTGTTGGGCACCGCCTGCTTCGTGCTCTTATTTCCTTCTTACCACATTCTGGAAATAGCTGCTGTTACTCCTATTTCACATGGAGTGGCTCAGAGAAGTTTAGCAACTTGCCGAGGGTCCCAGTGCCAGAGCTGGGATTGAAATAGTTCCAGCTGACTTGCAGGCTTGCGCTTTTCACACCGCCCCACAAACTGTCCATATTTACTCCAAAGCCAAGTCAAGAGGAACAACAACAAAACCCATCCTCCCCGCATTATCCACGCATGGAGAATAAATGGAATGCTGGCTGCCAGTGGCGGAGTTTTGCCCGGGTCTTGACAGGGCTGATGTAGTGCCCCGTCCCGTGCTTTGATGATGAAAGATTAGGGCCGATTCATGTGTGTCCCCCCACCCCCATTATTTTTCCTTCTCCATCCCCTTTTGGGCTCCTGCTGGGAAAATGATGGAGACTGTATTTTGCTGATGATGAGGGGAGAGGTGAATGGGAATGCGTGCGGCCTAAGTGATACAGGAATGTGGGGGGGGGGAGCCATGTGTGAGGGCAAGTAGTGGAAGGAAGCTGAGAGAAACTGACAGCTTAATGCTGCCCCTGGGGCTCATTTTATGGTTAATTAGGACATGCAAATAAGCTGGAAGTTCATTTAATACCCTCCCTGGCATGGGGTCCGCCTCACACCTGGCCCACTTCCCTGGCAGGTACCGGGGTCCCCTGATTGGCTCAGGCATCTGCTCAGGACCCCACCTGTTTCTCTGTGGCCCTGAGACCAGAGTGTGTCTGTAGATGATCCCTGGCCACAAGCAGGACCTAGAAGAGTCCCTGTGGCCAGCGGGCCTGCCTAATCCCCTTCCTTTCTCTTCCCATTCCTTCAGCCCTGGGACCCCTCTTTCCCAGAGGGTCCCTCTTCCTCAAGCACTTCCGCTGCACCACCCCTCAGGTGGAGAGCCGAACTCAAACGCCCCGAGGACCAGAGACCGGCTCAGCTCTGTCCCCGCCACGTGGCCCTGTTCCGCAGAGCCTTGTGGCAAGTGGGGCGCCTCCATCTTTCCCGAGTCACAGCAACACTTCCTACAGGGCCTCCATAAAGCGGGAGCATAGCCTGTCTCTCGGCGGGTATCTGGCTTTCAGTGCCCGCCAGGTGCCTTCCCCAGCCAGGGCAGTCAGGGCACTTCTGCCGGTACCCGGGCATGGGCACTGGATTCCGGAGTCAAACAGGAGACCCACTTGCCCGTCACTGTGTAAGCTTGAGTGGGTGGCTTAACCTCCCTGAGCCTCACTGTTCTTCGTGTGAAACGGCGGAAACACAGGGCTGCTGTGAGATGTGAAGGACGTGAGGCACCTCGGGCTCTAGAACCCAGAAGCTCAGTATGTATCAGATGAGTGACCGTCACTTCAGGCGCGGACCAAGTGACCCAGGGCAAAAACATTGAAAGATCAAGAACAGCTTTCTCGGAGCCTTGGTCTCCTCTTCTGGCCCTATTACCTCACAGAACTGTAACAAGGATCAGAGAAGACAATAAGCGTGAACATGTTTTTGTACATTGTAAAAATATTACCCGGATGGGCTATTTGCCAAACGGCAAACAATTTACACTTTTCCGTGGAAGGATATGTGTGTGCACGTGTGTAGGGGGCTGGGTATGGAGGGGCAGCAGCATAGGCTGAGCTCAGGAATGGTGCTTGAAGACCCCCCACTGCCAGAGGATGTGCTCTAGGGAGCACCCCCACCCCCGCCCGCTCCCTCACAGTAAACCCTCAGGGCCCGCGCATTCCTGGCAAGGACTAGAGAGGTGGAAGAGCCAAGTTCTAATGGTTTTGAGGAGTCAGTGTCGCCACCCCACACTCTCACCCCCATCGCTCTCTGAAAGCATCTTTGTGTTACTGGTCAGAGAGAGGCCTCCAAGGAACAAAGAGGGAGGGAGCCCTTCTCGGGCACCTGTTCCTCAACACAACACTTGGGGCAAACATAATCTGGCAGGGAGCCATGACTGCACCTCACACTCCGCCTTTTCTCTGCATCTTGGCCAGGCTGGGCCCTGGGTCGGGGAGGAGCAGGTCTCTGACTCTCCACCAGGTCTCAGGCCACAGCTGCCGCGCTTCTGCTCCCTGGCTTCCACTCCACTGAATCCATTCCCTGTACAACCCTCTGGACCCATCACTCAAGACAGCCGCCCTGTTCCGGGGGAGCATAGGAATCAGTGCCAAAAATGCCCTCCTGCGTGCTCTGCACCTCCAGCAGAAGCCCACCACGACCCAGCTCTGGGCTCTCCGCCCTGCCCCCTAGTTCTTCCCACTGGCGGGGGTGCGGGGTGGGGGTGGGGGCGGGGAGCGGGTTCAGGCACAGATGCCACCTGGTTTTCGGGGGCGGGGGATGCCCCCATCCAAGGGAAGAATCAGGTTTTGTTTCCCTGTTTCCCCCGCTCTGCACATGTTACTCCCCTGGCTGCTTTCCCTTTCCTCCTGTGCCTCCCCCTCAGGCCCCTTCCCCACCTCCCCCTGCCGACCGGAGGCTGGCGCCCTCAGCTGCGAGGAAATGCTGCCTGGGCTCTGGGAGGACAGAGGAGGTGAAGGAAGTGTCTTCAAGGTCCTGTGACTTCATCCTCATTTGGCCTGTCTTCCGTGGGTGTCTGGAGGCCCAGTCCTTCCCAGCAGACCCCAATGGACTTCCTCAGCCTTAC